CCGTAAGGACATAGAGCTAAGTGAGAGGAACAAAAATGTCCTGTATTATAATGTGAAAATCGTAATAGTTTTTTAATTATAACAGCGCAAAGTTAGGCGTTTTTCACACCCAACGCGGCCTATAGACGCTCCACGGCAAACTAGGTGTGCGTAGGGGCTGAGCGATAACGCGGCTCGCGCTAACCGTTGCGCGGCATCAAAGCGCCAAGACGCCATCGTGACAATCAGCGCGAGACGCGTTATCGCTCAGCCCCTACGTACACAGCTTGCCACGGAGCATCTATAGGTCGCGATGGGCGTAGAGAACGCCAAACTTTACGCGGTTATTACTAAAAAACTATTACGATTTTCATCTTATGGTAGAGGACTTTTTTGTTCCTCTCACTTAGCTCTATGTCCCTACGGAGCCCGTGTGCCAAAGTTCTGAGACACCTTGTATACGAACGAAATCTAAACAAGTCTTAAAGCATACTTCACGTGCATTAGTGCAAGCAATCAAATTCACTATAAAAATTTTTGGATAATTACCATTGATATCCAACATTGGACATCCTATAGATGTCCTAATATGGATGTTTTGATGAGTCCAAAATCGAATATATGATGGACGTCCATTTCACGTTCATGGACGTGCGGACGTAAAATGGACATAAAATGGACGTCCATAAGACATCTTGTGCTATCTGGGTAATATATACTGATATAATAAATATAAAAATATAAATTAACATTAAAACATATAAATTAACATTAAAACAATTAATATTTACAAAATACAGTTGATATATAAAAGTTGATAAAAATACAAAATAGAAAAAGTACCGTGTTAATTTATCACAATTTCTCTCCCATGCATCTATCATTTCCTGCACCTCACTAATTCGCCTGACTAATTCATCTCTTGTATAAGGTACAACGGCTGAATAACTTTCATGATTTGAATCTTCATATGTGTACTCGTCTTGATATATTGGTCTTCTGTAAACACCTGCATCAATATTCAAAGCTAAATATTGTTGAAGCTGCTTTAAATTTTGCCAGTACAACTTTTGGTGATAATCGGCTTGTTGCAGGAGCGTAAATGCATTATAATTTGGTGTCAACATATGTATTATTACATATTGGTATTGCATATGTATTACATATTGGTATTATATATGTATGATCCACATTGTTCGTTGCATTAACATAATTATGTGCAACGTTACTGTAATTTATCGGAGCGTACGAGGAACCGAGTGTCACTGGTGTTTATGATGTTTCTGTGTGGTTTTCGTGTGTTTGTACAATATTATATTCATGTGACGAATTGAAAGAAAATAAATAATTAAGAAATTAAATAATAACACAGTAAAATCTATAGCGATTGCATTTTAATGCAATTATTTTATATAAAAGTTACCTTTCGTATGATGTAATATATTTTCTAGTTTTTCGGCTATTTTGTCGCATACTTTCATATAATGATCCTGCCATTCTTTACTACAGGATGTATTTTTATTATGCGACGAATCCTTCTTTATTTCCTTTCTTTCGTTATCTTTTCTTCTTCTTCCATTGTCCTGTTAGTCGAAAAATTTTAATGAATAACTTTGAAATGAGTATTTTATATTATAACACAATATTATATTATAACAGTATTTTATATTATAACACAAGTAATTTTATTTCGCCCTTCCACAATATTCTCAGAAGAAACTTTAAATAATTTTTAAATATAATATTCATTTAGTATAATAATATAAATATTGTATATACAGGATATATATGAACTCCATCGACAAAATCATAAGATAGATTTTTCATAAAAAAAATAAACAACGTTCATAATATATATGTATTTTTAAACGCTTAATTTCTGACAAGGGGAGGACGCATGGACCGGGAAACGGTTTGGAACGAAACTTACGGAGTTAATAGTACTTGACTACTAATAACTCATGGTAATAGCATACGACGCAATACCTCTTCGTTTTCAAGAAAAAACGGTCTAAAGAAAAGAGCCTACGAAGTGTACGAGTTAGTAAGAAGGGTATTCAATGAAGCAGTGTAGCGCAGCAGCGAAGATAATGGACTACCGAACTGACGGCTGAGGTTCGATCCTTGCTGTATGATTTTTATTCTGTAAGCATAAAAATGAAATAGAAAACTTTAATAAGTAATAAAACTGCGTTTCTTAAATGTATTAGTGTTTGTTAAATATATTATTAATGATTTAAATTGCAAAAAAGCTGTAAATCTTATCTATAAAATATATAGTGTATGAGAACATTTTTATATAATAATTGCAATGGAAATAGGAGTAAAAATATATTATATTTTCGCTGGAGGATTTTTCGATAATAATTCATTATTCTCATAAATAGAATTCGCATATACGAAAGCATTAGTGAATTCACCTTTAAAATCTTCATTTTCAAAAGATCTTTCTTCTAGCGATTTTCTAGCGATCAACTATTTTGCTTGTTGAAGGATTCTCTGACATTGTTATGATATATGTAATTTAAATATGATCACCGAACTGCTCTGTATCACTAGTAAACGCACACTGCTGCTTGCTCTACTGACGATTGTTCCGATGTTCGAATCATTTCGTCATTCTTAACGATCGTTTAGAATGACACAAAGGAAGTTTCTGGGGGGGGGGGGATTGCCAAAAGAGATAAAGACACAACACAACTTCAACGCAACATAGAGAGTTGTAACAGAAACAAATATTTTATATATACGATACAAGATTACGAAAAATTATTTCATACTAGTTTAACTCTTTGCAATCGGCTGATTTCGAAGAGATCGATAAACATGGATATCTGTAAGTTGATCTACATATTTGAATCTATCATCGGGAGTTTTCTTTCATTATCGCTAGCCTCATTTGCCGTGCCGCACGCCAGACGATCATGAATGCCAGCCTGGCGGCATCGACTTCTACGACGACTTGCGAATGCCGCCATAGTGGCGGCATCGACCGCAAAGGGTTAATAGCACTCCTATATATTTCACAATAATATTTTTATTCCTATTACCATTGCAATTATTATATAAAAATTTTCTCATACACTATATATTTTATAGATAAGATTTACGGTTTTTTTGCAATTTGAATCATTAATAATATATTTATTAGGTGCGCAACTAAGTTCCCGCTGTTTTTCAAGAGATGGCTCCAGTAGTAAGTGCTGGTCGATTGTGACATAATCAAAACGTCATGAACCAAGCTTAGAATATGGGAAACAAACCGCTTTGACAAATTAGTGATTTTGTTTTTACGTCATATACTTTTGGTTGTGTGAAAATGTCTGATTTTGTGCCAAATAATCGTCATTTGCGGGAAGTGTTGCTTTTCTTCTTTCATTCGAAGAAAACGGCGGCTGAAGCGCATCGAGAACTCCAAAAAGTTTACGGAGATGCTGCACTAAGTGAAACAACGTGCCGTGATTGGTTCCGTCGCTTCAAAGACGGTCCTCCCCGTGGGTGCCACCTTGACGTGGTGGGGAGGCTTGAAGGTCCCGATGATGTACAGAGCTGTACCGGCGGGGGTTTCGGCCCCTGGCAGGTTCTACCATGCCGGAGTGGTCTGTACGGAGGGACTGGGCCAAGAGCACCCGACCGGGCTGAGTGATCAGCCTGGTCCATGACCAGCATGGTCACAGAGCGGGTGGGAGGAGATCATCATCCCTGAAGGCATTGCACGCCGGTGCTCCGGCAGCCGACAGGGATGACCTCCTCTACACTCGCTCCAGGAAGGGGACCTCTCTCTCCGAGGCATTGCACGCCGGTGTTCCGGCAGCCGAAGAGAGAGAACCCTTTCCTCCCGCCTCGATTGGACCGTTATGGTTAGACCGGGGCGGAGGGACGTACCCGCATCCAGGGCTCCACCCCATGGGGATCCTCCCCCCGTGGTGCCTGAGATGCGGAGGGGTACTCCGGGCCGCTCGGACGTTTCCGAGGTCGGGGTCGGGGTACCCTACCGCGTCCTGAGAGATCCCACCCTCCGAGGCATTGCACGCCGGTGCTCCGGCAGCCGAAGAGGGGAGGACCTCTCTCCCTCGTTCGTCCCAGCCACGGCTGGGCGAATGGAGAATCCCACACCCGGGTCTGCACACCGTGGGACTAGTCCCACGGTACCTGGGGGGTGGAGGGATGTCCCGGGCCGCTCGGACTTATTCCGAAGTCGGGGTCGGGGCACCCTAGGGTGACGAGGGGAGAGGACCCCACCTTCATCGAAGGTGGACTCCCCGACTTCCCTCACCCGTTCGGCCCCGGTCGAACGGACAGAGGAACCCACACCCGGGTCTGCACACCATGGGGCTTGCCCCATGGTACCCGGGAGGTGGAGGGGTGTCTCGGGCCGCTCGGACGTATTCCGAGGTCGGGGTCGAGACACCCTCATGCGCCAACCAGAGGACTCATTCCCGGAGGCATTGCACGCCGGTGCTCCGGCAGCCAAAGGGAACGATCCTCTCTCTCATCCGTCCTGGCCACGGCCAGGCGGAGAGAGGTACCCACACCCGGGTCTGCACACCGTGAGGGTTTGGAACCCCTCACGGTACCCGGGGGGTGGAGGGATGCTCCGGGCAGCTCGGACGTATTCCGAGGCGGGGCCGGAGCCCCTGTGTGCTGTGCCCGAGGGAATGCGATCGCATCACCCTAAAGCGGACCCTCGGGCGGCGCGAGCATGCTGGCTGCCATGGGGGAGGCGTTCCCGGTGGGGTGCGACACCGGTGAACTACCTCCTTCCATGGGGCCCCCCGCGTGGCGGCGCTCTGCACGGTGCCCACATTGTCGGAGGTGTGGGACCCCCGAAGCGGTCTGGCCACCAGAAATGGTGGTCAGGGCGCGTGTAGGGGGCGGGAGGCCAGTGCCGACGATGATACATTCCGTCGGCCCGTGCCATATGATGCTCCTCTGGGGGAACTCGGAGGCTCCCCCTTTCCGGGGGGATGCGGGCATGCCCGGGCACCGGAGCCGTGTAGAGTTGTGGGTTAGAAACCACAATGACAGATTTTATTTCAACCTCCTCTAACAATGAATCATCGGACTCGGAAATGAATAAGACGACCCAGGCTAGACTAAAGGACACGAGAAGCCGAACTGGCAAAAGCCAGATAACGGCAAGGAGGGAGGGGCTTCGGAGCGGAAAGTCCCTAGAGACTAAGAAGGCGGAAGAGATCGATGACAGCGACCGATCTCGATCGCCCATAAGGGTCGATGGTTCAAAACCATTCGCCACCTCTAGAGAGGAGGACTCGGACGATGGTGTAAAAATCGTCAAGAAGAAAAAGGAAGGGAAGTGGGAAATCCCCAGAGACGAGGATGGTAATACGGACGAGGAGCGTCTCGTAGAAAAGGCCACCAGAGGAAGGGGCAGGGCAGAAACCACGGGGGAATACCGCCTTAAAAAAGAATTTATGGCGAGAAAGCAGGTCATCATGGAGCAGAAGAGGGAGGAACTTCTGTTGAAAGGATTGGAAAATCCCACGGAAGAGTTCCAGGACTGCACTTCCAACAGGAAGTACAAGGCGGAAATAAAAAGGCTAACAGAACACCTAGAGGAGGCCCCCTTCCGGGATATCACGGCGACGATACTGGAAGCGTCGACCAAGGTACTGGGATTTTCACAGAAATCCAAAAGCCTGAAGGGAACACACGTGAAGGTCCTCAGAGACGCCGCAGCGGCCATAACAGCGGGCACAAATGTAATGGCCATGCAAATGGCACAGGACAGGTGCGGGAACAACCTGGACCTAATAGAGGAACTGCGGACGGAAAACATGAATTTGAAAACGTCGCTGAAAGAGGTTAAAAAGGAATTGGAGGAGGTCAAGGAGATGCTCCGAGGTATAAGGGAGGCACCGCTACATGTAGCGGTATCCTCCCCGCCCTCGAAGCACCCAGGAAACGCGGGCCAGAGTTTAAAGGAAGCACCGCAACGTATGGCGAGTGCTCCCTCGCCCCTGATCCGCGTAGAGGAGAAGGTAAGGGCGATAACTCCACCCATAACGGACATGATGGAGGAGGAGGAAATCCCGATAGGAGTCATCGAAATTCAGAAGGGATTGATCCCAAAGGATAAGAGACGCCCGGTAAGGGAGAGGACTGAAGCCAGGGTCGCAAAGGTAGCAGAGGCAGGCCCCAAGATCAGGGAGGACATCCTCCTTAATACTAGAGTAAGGATAGAAAAAGAGAAGGAGTCAACAAAGAAAGAAAAGAAAGGAATGGAAGAGGAAGTCTCCAAAATGGTGTTCAGAGCATTGAACAAATGGGCATCACAGGAGAAGGAAATTCCTAAACAAGGGGCCAGGAAAAACAACAAAGGAAAAGGAATGGGAAAAGAACTGGGGAATCAAGGAATGGTACAGCATGGGGGAAAAAACTACACACAGGACTATCCCCAACTACCACCCACACGATCACAAATAAAGGAGTTTCAAGTACAGGAAACTCCTACACCACGAATAGAGACATGGTCAAAAGTAGTGGGTAGGAGAGAAAGGAAAAAGGAAAAAGATGTACAAAAAAGACAGGAAATAAGGAAGGTGGTGAACATTGAAAGAAAGGAGGGGAAGAAGAATAGGAGAAGAGTCCCCAATACGGCGGCGGTAACCATAACCGCTGGACGGGGACAATATAAGGACTTATTGGCAGAGGCAAAGAGGAAAATTGACCTTACAGGAATCGGTATCGAGAAAATTAAGACCAGAGTGGGGGCCACCGGTGCCCTGGTAATCGAGATACCTGGGGAGCAAAGGGGCATACAGGCGGATCAGCTCGCAGATAAACTCAAGGAGGTATTGACCGACAGAGCCAAAATAAGCAGACCACAAAAGATGGGAGAACTGCGATTGAAGGGAATGGAGATATCCACCACGGAGAGTGAAGTGGCAGAGGCAGTGGCCAAAGTAGGAGGATGCCAGGTGGGGGATGTGAAGACTGGAAAAATGAGGGTAGCCTGGAACAGTTACAGAACGTTGTTGGTACAGTGCCCCCTCGTGGCAGCGAAGAAGATCGCTGAAGAAGGAAATATTAAAATAGGATGGACGCTCACTAAAGTGGAGCTATTGCAGGCGAGAGCGCTGCAGTGCTTCAAATGTCTAGAGAGAGGGCATGTGCAAATCAACTGCAAAAGTAGCAATGATAGACGATCTAATTGCTACAGATGCGGAGAACCCGGACACCTGGCTCGGGACTGTAACTCTAGAGTCAGGTGCCAAATTTGTGTAGAGGCTGACGTCCAGTCGGACCATAGAATGGGGGAGCCATCCTGCCGTCCCCCCAAGAGAAAGAAGAAAATCCTTGGGGATGTGGTGGAAGGGGGTATGGCGACCGCACCGCCGCCACGAGACCCTCCCACATCCTCAGAGGAGAGGAGGAAAGGAACAGAGGAAGGAAAGAAGGCGGAGGGGGGGGTAAACCGGGAGCCGGAACCCCAACCTCCGCTTCCTCAAAGGAGGAGAAGAACCTCCCTCCATCTTCTACCTTCCCCTCAGGCCCCCATTGATGATGGGAAGATGGAGGTGGAGGAGAAGAGAGGGGAGAAAAGAGCAAGATCAAATGAAAGCGAGGACACCGACGGCGAACAGCCGGGAGAGAAAGTGGTAGTCATAACCGAATCAAACGATAGACACTAGACTACTCCAAGGAAACCTGCACCGCGCCCGTCAAGCGCTCTCCTTGTTTGAGCACACGATGACGGAGCGCGGTGCAGACTTAGGTATAGCGGCAGAGTCCCATCATGTCCCCAGGAACCATAGATGGTTCGGGGACGAAGAGGGCTCTGTCGCTATAGTCTGGAAGGCGAGCAACAACTCACCCCCCGCGAAATACGTGGATCGCGGTAGGGGTTTCGTTGTGGCCAGGTGGGGAGTCATCACCGTGGTCGGGGTATACCTTCCCCCAGAAAAGAGCCTGGGCTTGGTTGATTACAAGTCCAGGCTCCAAGAAATGGGAGATGTCATAAAGAGGCATTTCCCGGGTCCTGTCATCGTCGCCGGCGATTTTAACGCCAAATCGGAGCTCTGGGGCTCTCGGCGCGATGACAGGAGGGGGGAGGTAACGGCGGACTGAGCCGTGGGCCTAGGTCTGCACATCATGAATGATGGTAGAAAATCTACCTTCGTGGGGTCGATGGGGGAGTCTATCATCGACTTGTCTTGGGCAACCCCCTCGGCCCTGCGAAGGGTGCGGACCTGGAGGGTGGCGGACGAGCTCGAATCGCTATCCGATCATCTCATAATAGAGATGGAGCTGTCCGTCACCCCCGACGGCCTACGGCCCCGCAATGCGGATGGACCCCGGCCCGGAAGATGGGCTCTGGCCCAACTAAACAGGGAGGATCTGGAGATCTCCCTGATGGGCTCCACCTGGCCACAGTGGAAGGATGGGCAGGACCTTGACTCTGAGGTCATGGAGGTTTTGCAAGTGCTTGCACTCGCGTGCGATGCCTCCATGCCCAGAGTCAGGGCCTGCCCAAAACGATGCGCCTGGTGGTGGACCGACCAAATTGCCGCGTTGCGGCGGAGGTCGGTTCACCTCAGGCGCGTGTTCCGAGCGGAGCGTTGGAACGCGGACCCTGAGGTCACTCTGGCCGCCCGGCAAGAGTTTTGCGCAGCCGCAAAAGAACTCCGGAATGCCATAGGGGTGGCCAGAGGAAAGGGGTGGGACGACCTCCTCCTCTCGCTAGACGCGGATCCGTGGGGGCGCCCATACAGGATAGTCATGCAGAAGCTGAGACCATGGGCGCCCCCTTTGACGGAGACGCTTGACTCCCGGTTCCTGGGACGGGTGATGGGAACCCTATTCCCGGTTGGGGGGGATAATCCCATCACCCCGTACGTAACCCCATCCCCCGAACATCAGGGGGAGGTTCCGGGAGTCACCGAGGAGGAGGTGGCCGAGGCTACCAGGCGGGTCAAGAGCAGGAAAGCTCCAGGGCCCGATGGTATCCCCGGCCGTGTCCTCACCCTGGCCTCAGGGTACATGAGCGCTAGGTTCGCGCACCTATTTACGAGGGCGCTAAGGGAGCGGAAATTCCCCCCGGTCTGGGGGAGGGCCAACGTGGTCCTCCTCCGAAAAGACGGCAAGCCGGAGGACTCCCCCTCCGCGTATCGGCCCATATGCCTCCTGGATGAGGCGGGCAAGCTCTTCGAGCGCATAATAGCGGCCCGCCTCAAGAGGCATATGTCCCGGGAGGGTCCTGATTTAGGCGACGGCCAATATGGCTTCCGAGAGGGCAGATCGACTGTGGATGCGATACTGCATCTAAAGTCCCTCTCGGGGGCCATAGTGTCGGAGGGCAGGGTGGCAGTCGCGATATCTCTCGATATCGCGAATGCGTTCAACACCCTGCCCTGGGGTAGGGTGGTGCAGGCGATGAGAAGCTATTTCCGCTTTCCACCCTACCTCACGGCCGTCGTGGAGGACTACTTCCGGGGTCGGCGTCTCATGTGGACGGACGCCGATGGCACGGTGCGAGAGAGGGGGATGAGTCGTGGGGTCCCACAAGGATCGGTGTTGGGGCCCCTACTGTGGAATATTGGATACGACTCAGTCCTCCGGACAGCCCTCCCCCCCGGCTGTAGCACGTTGTGCTACGCAGACGACACGCTCGTCCTGGCCGGGGGGAGAGACTGGGGGGAAGCCGTACATACGGCGAACCTAGCGGTGGCGGCGGTTGTGCGCTCCATCCGCAACTTGGGCCTGGTGGTGGCGGAAAGGAAGACGGAGGCGATCTTCCTCCACGCAAGGGGCATGAAGCCACCCCAGGCCCATATCAGGATTGGATAAGTCAGGGTCCCCATAGAGGCCCAGATGAAGTATCTGGGCCTCACCCTGGACGGCACCTGGTGCTTCAAAGAACACCTAAATAGGCTGGTCCCCCGACTCAGGATGGTTTCCATTAACCTGGGCAGATTAATGCCCAATGTCGGGGGGCCAGACAGGAAGGCACGTCGCCTCCACGCGGGAGTGTTAAACTCGGTGGCCATGTATGGTGCACCGGTGTGGGCCGAGTCGCTGGCCGCCAGTCGCCCGATGCAAGCGCGGATGCGCAGAGTGCAAAGGGGGCTGGCGGTCAGGGTAGCCAGATGCTACCGGACCGTCTCCTGCGTGGCGGCGACAGTCCTGGCGAGCATGCCCCCTATGGAGCTCGTGGCCCTGTCGTACAAGCGCATGTACGACAGGAAGCGCGAGCTCCTAAGAACAGGGGGGGCGGACGTACCGCTCGCCAGGATAATTAGGGAAATGAAGCACCAGACTCGACGGATCCTCCTCGAAAGATGGCAAAGGTATCTGGCCAATGCCAGGTACGGGAGGAGGACCGTCGAGGCCGTCCGGCCCTTCCTACTCGAGTGGGTGGGAAGGGCCCTGGGGCCCTGACTTTCAGGGCGGCGCAGGTGCTCACCGGGCATGGTTGCTTCGGTGAGTACCTGTGCCGCATAGGAAAAGAGCGCACAACCGCCTGCCACCATTGCGGGCATGGCCACCACTCCGCGCAACACACGCTCCAGGAATGCCCGGCCTGGAGCGACGAGCGCGGAGTCGTGGAGAGACAGTTAGGTTGCGACCTTTCGCTCCCCAGTATAGTCCGGGCGATACTGGGGAGCGAAGAGAAGTGGGAGGCCTTCACCTCCTTCTGCGAGGGAGTTATGAAGCAGAAGGAGGAGGCCGAAGAGGAAAGAAGGAGAGCGGAAGGTAGAGGAATGCGAAAGAGACGGAGGGACCGCCACCGTCAGTGGAGGGGAGGGAGGAGCAGGAGCAGGGAGGGGGACGCAGACTCCTCGGAGGAGGAGGAATTGAGGAGGCTGGGGGCTCAGCCACCACCGCCTCCTCCTCCCCCTCACCCCCCTGCTCCCCCTCCAATAAGGAGAGCGAGAGGAAGGAAGAGAGTAAGAGGAACGACATGCAGGGGGCAACTGGGAGCCCTCCTGAGAGACAGAGGGGTGGTGGTGGTGGTGTTGCGTAGGCTCGCCCCACTGGTGGCGGCGGCAGCAACGCTGACCGCCCCTGTAGTTGGGGTGGATGTGGCACCGCCGCCGCCGCCACCCCCCGCTGCCCTACCAATGGCAGTGACGGGTGATGGGAGCGGGTGGGGGGCGCGGCTTAGGCCCAGGCCCTACACCCGCAGACCACCGACTCCCACGAAAAAGGGTGTCGGATGATAATAAGGGGGGGAGAGGGCACCGATGGTAACGAACCATCGGAATAAATGCCCCTCCCCCCCTCCAATCGCAGGTCCGATAGACAAATTGGACATGCGGGAGGGGGGTCACTAGGACCCCCAGCCCCATTCCTCCGCGGAGGTGGGGAGAGCCCGGCGGCTAGGGGAATACATCTCCCTGCAACCGCCGGGCGGGAGGGTGGGGCACCGGGCGGGGACTCCCGGTGCCCCAACCAGCCCTCCCAAGGTAGGGTGGCTGGCTGATACGGTGGGTCAGTCAGCCACACAACGTGTGTATTGGCGGCGCCTCGTCTGGTCGGGAACGGCGGTGAAGCGGGCCTCGGCCGGCTTCCCCCTTCCCGACCGAAGAGACGAGGCGTGAGGGGTGGGAAAGGGGAACGGCGGTCGAAGCGGGCCCTCGGACCGGCTTCCCCCTTCCCCTGGGGGAGCGGTGGTCGAAGCGGACCCTCGGGTCGGCTTCCCCCCTCCCCCACCCCGCCCCTCAGGGACAGAAGGTGCAAACCTGGACTCGGGGCCCCGATTAGCAGTTACGCGGCACCGGGGCCCCGACTCAAGTCCCTTCGCAGCGCCACCCGGGGAGGTTTTAGCCGGTAGGAGTCCGGCATAACCCTGGCCCTTCCCCGAGGGTCAGGGTATCCATGATCCTCCCCGTGGGTGCCACCTTGACGTGGTGGGGAGGCTTGAAGGTCCCGATGATGTACAGAGCTGTGCCGGCGGGGGTTTCGGCCCCTGGCAGGTTCTACCAAGCCGGAGTGGTCTGTACGGAGGGACTGGACCAAGAGCACCCGACCGGGCTGAGTGATCAGCCTGGTCCATGACCAGCATGGTCACAGAGCGGGTGGGAGGAGATCATCATCCCTGAAGGCATTGCACGCCGGTGCTCCGGCAGCCGACAGGGATGACCTCCTCTACACTCGCTCCAGGAAGGGGACCTCTCTCTCCGAGGCATTGCACGCCGGTGTTCCGGCAGCCGAAGAGAGAGAACCCTTTCCTCCCGCCTCGGTTGGACCGTTACGGTTAGACCGGGGCGGAGGGACGTACCCGCATCCAGGGCTCCACCCCATGGGGATCCTCCTCCCCCGTGGTGCCTGAGATGCGGAGGGGTACTCCGGGCCGCTCGGACGTTTCCGAGGTCGGGGTCGGGGTACGCTGCCGCGTCCTGAGAGATCCCACCCTCCTAGGCATTGCACGCCGGTGCTCCGGCAGCCGAAGAGGGGAGGATCTCTCTCCCTCGCTCGTCCCAGCCACGGCTGGGCGAACGAAGGATCCCACACCCGGGTCTGCACACCGTGCGGGACTATTCCCACGGTACCTGGGGGGTGGAGGGGATGTCCCGGGCCGCTCGGACTTATTCCGAGGTCGGGGTCGGGGCACCCTAGGGTGACGAGGGGAGAGGACCCCACCTTCTTTGAAGGTGGACTCCCCGACTTCCCTCACCCGTTCGGCTTCGGTCGGACGGACAGAGGAACCCACACCCGGGTCTGCACACCGTGGGGCTTGCCCCACGGTACCCGGGGGGTGGAGGGGTGTCTCGGGCCGCTCGGACGTATTCCGAGGTCGGGGTCGAGACACCCTCTGGCGCCAACCAGAGGACTCATTCCCGGAGGCATTGCACGCCGGTGCTCCGGCAGCCGAAGGGAACGATCCTCTCCCTCATCCGTCCTGGCCACGGCCAGGCGGAGAGAGGTACCCACACCCGGGTCTGCACACCGCGAGGGTTTGGAACCCCTCGCGGTACCCGGGGGGTGGAGGGGTGCTCCGGGTCGCTCGGACGTATTCCGAGGCGGAGTCGGAGCCCCTGTGTGCTGTGCCCGAGGGAATGCGATCGCATCACCCTAAAGCGGACCCTCGGGCGGCGCGAGCACGCTGGCTGCCATGGGGGAGACGTTCCCGGTGGGGTGCGACACTGGTGAACTATCTCCTTCCATGGGGCCCCCCGCGTGGCGGCGCTCTGCACGGTGCCCACATTGTCGGAGGTGTGGGACCCCCGAAAGCGGTCTGGCCACCAGAGATGGTGGTCAGGGCGCGTGTAGGGGGCGGGAGGCCTGTGCCGACGATGTTATATTCCGTCGGCCCGTGCCATATGGTGCTCCTCCGGGGGAACTCGGAGGCTCCCCCTTGCCGGGGGGATGCGGGCATGCCCGGGCACCGGAGCCGTGCAGAGTTGTGGGTTCAAAACCAAGAATGACTGACTATACAACCTCCTCAAATGATTCATCGGATTCGGAAAACATTAAGACGACCCAGGCAAATCCAAAGGACTTGAGAAGCCGACCTGGCAATAGCCAGGTGACGGTTAGGAGAGAGGGACTCAGGAGCGCAAGGCTCCTAGAGAAGAGGAAGGCGGAAGAGACCGACAACAGCGATAGGTCCCGATCGCCCATCAAGGTCGACGACTCAACGCCGTTCGCCACCTCTAAGGAAGAAGACTCCGATGATGGTGAGAAAGTCACCAGAAAAAAGGAAGGGAAGTGGGAAATCCCCAGAGATGACGAAGGAAATACAGACGAAGAACGTCTGATAGAGAAGGCAACCAGAGGTAGGGGCAGGCCCGAGACAACTGGGGGATACCGATCGAAGAAGGAATTTATGGCAAGGAAACTTGCCATAATGGAGCAGAAGAGAGAGGAAGCTCTCTTGAAAGGGTTGGAAAATCCCACGGAGGAGTTCCTAGACTGTACCGCCAACAGGAAGTACAAGGCGGAAATTAGAAGGATGACGGAACACCTGGAGGAGGCACCCTTCCGCGATATAGCAGCGACGATACTCGAAGCGTCCGCTAAAGTCCTCGGCTTTTCACAAAAATCGAAAAGCCTCAAAGGAACCCACGTAAAGGTCCTCAGGGATGCAGCTGCAGCGATAACAGCAGGAGCAAACGTCCTGTCCATGCAAATGGCGCAGGACAAATGCGGAAACAATCTCGACCTGATAGAGGAACTGAGGACGGAGAACGTAGGTCTGAAGACGTCGCTGAGGGAGGTTAAGAAAGAATTAGAGGAGGTAAAACAAATGCTTCAAGGTATAAGGGAGGCACCGCTGCAGGTAGCGGTATCCTCCCCGCCCTCGAAACAACCGGGAAGTACGGGTCGGGGTATAAAGGAGGCACCGCAACAAATGGCGGGTGCTTCCTCGCCCCTGATCCGCACAGAAGGGATAGGAAGGGCGATCACGCCACCTATGGTCGATATGGAGGAGGAGGAGGAAGTCCTGACTGGAGTCATTGAGATTCAAAAGGGACTGATTCCAACGGTGAAGAGAAACCCGGTGAGGGAAGCCAGGGTCGCGAATAGACTAGCAGGTCCCAAGATCAGGGAAATTGTCCCCCTGAAAACCAAAGTTAGGGTGGAAAAGAGGGTGGAATTAGTAAAAGGAGAAGAGAAGGGACTGGGAGAGGAGGTGTCGAGAATAGTGTTCCAGGCCCTGAACGAGTGGAAGGCACAGGAGGCTCCCAAACAGGGGGCCTGGAAAAACAAAGGAAAAGGAGAGGTGAAAGAAACCAGGGATCAAGGAAGGGCACAAAACAAGGAAAACTATAATAGAGAGTATCCTCAGCTTCCACCTACGAGAAAGGGACAACAAACACAACATAGCAGGGAGGAGGCACCTAAACCACAGGAAATGTGGACGAAAGTGGTGGGCAGGAGAGAAAAGAAGAGGGAGAAAGAAGAGCAGAGGAGGAAAGAAATTGTGAAAAAGGTGGTAATTCCCGAAAAGAAAGAAAGGAAAAAGAATAAGAGGAGAGTCCCCAATACGGCGACGGTGACAATCACTGCCGAAAAAGGACATTATAAGGACTTGCTAGCAGAGGCAAAAAGGAAGATAGATCTAGATGGGATTGGTATCGATAAGATAAAGACAAGAGTAGGGGCCACCGGAGCACTCGTGATTGAGATACCAGGCGAAGAAAGGAGCAAGCAGGCGGATCTACTGGCGGATGAACTGAAAGAGGTCTTGACAGATAGGGCACGAGTAGGCAGGCCGCAGAAAATGGGGGAACTCAGATTGAAAGGGCTGGAGATATCCACTACGGAGAGCGAGGCGGCGGAGGCAGTGGCTAAGGCAGGGGGTTGTAAAGTAGGAGAGGTGAAGACCGGGAGTTTGAGAATAGCCTATAATAATTACCGGACACTGTGGATACAGTGCCCCCTCGCGGCGGCCAAGAGGGTTGCAGAGATAGGCAGTGTTAGGATTGGATGGACGCAGACAAAGGCAGAGCTACTGCAGGCAAGGGCCCTGCAATGTTACAGGTGCCTAGAAAAAGGGCACGTGCAAACAAACTGCAAGAGTAGCAAGGACAGGCGCGAAAATTGTTATAGATGCGGAGAACCCGGTCACTTGGCTCGGGAGTGTAACTCGAGAGCCAGGTGCCAACTTTGCGCAGAGGCCGGCGTTAAGGCAGACCACAGAATGGGGGGACCATCTTGCCGTCCCCCCAAGAGGAGGAAGAATGTCCCTGGGGATGCAGTGGAAGGGGGTATGGCGACCGCACCGCCGCCACGAGACCCTCCTGCATCCCCAGAGGGGAAAAGAAAAGGAACCGAGGAAGGAAAAGAGGTGGAGGGGGGGGCAAACCGAGAGCCGGAATCCCAACCCCCACTACCCCAAAGAAGGAGAAGAGCCTCTCTCTCTCTTCCACCACCCCCTCAGCCCCCCACTGATGATGGGGGGATGGAGGTGGAGGAGAAGAGAGGAGAAAAAAGAGCGAGAGAAAACGAGGACACCGACGGCGAACAGCCGGGAGAGAAGGTGGTGGTAATAACGGAAAATGAACATTAAGTTGTTACAAGGAAACCTGCACCGCGCCCGTCAAGCTCTACCTCTATTTGAGCACACGATGACGGAGCGCGGTGCAGGCTTAGGCATAGCGGCAGAGCCCCACCATGTCCCCAGGAACCGCAGGTGGTTCGGGGACGAGTTGGGCTCTGTCGCTATTGTGTGGAAGGCGAGCAGCCGCTCACCCCCTGCCAAATACGTGGATCGCGGCAGGGGATTCGTTGTGGCCAGGTGGGGAGCCGTCACCGTGGTCGGGGTATACCTCCCCCCAGCAAAGAGCCTGGGCTTGGTAGATTACGAGTCCAGGCTCCAAGAAATGGGAGATGTCATCAAGAGACATCTCCCAGGTCCTGTCATCGTCGCCGGCGATTTTAACGCCAAATCGGAGCTATGGGGCTCCCGGCGCGATGACAGGAGGGGGGAGGTAACAGCGGATTGGGCCGTGGGCCTAGGTCTGCACATAATGAATGATGGTGTAAAATCCACATTCGTGGGGTCGAGGGGGGAGTCTATTATAGACTTGTCCTGGGCGACCCCCTCGGCCCTGCGAAGGGTGCGGACCTGGAGGGTGGCGGAGGAGCTCGAATCGTTGTCGGACCATCTCTTAATAGAGATGGAGCTCTCCGTCACCCCCGATGGCCTACGGCCCCGTAATAAGGACGGACCCCGGCCCGGTAGATGGGCTCTAGCCCAGCTAAGCAGGGAGGACTTAGAAATCTCCCTGATGGGCTCCACCTGGCCACAATGGAAGGACGGGCAGGACCTTGACTCTGAGGTCATGGAGGTTATGCAGGTTCTCGCACTCGCGTGCGATGCCTCCATGCCCAGAGTCAGGGCCTGCCCAAAACGATGCGCCTGGTGGTGGACCGACGAAATTGCCGCGTTGCGGCGGAGGTCGGTCCACCTCAGGCGCGCGTTCAGAGCGGTACGCTGGGACGCGGACCCTGAGGTCACTCTGGCCGCCCGGCAGGAGTTCTGCGCTGCAGCGAAAGAACTCCGGAATGCCATAGGGGTGGCCAGAGGAAAGGGGTGGGACAACCTCCTCCTCTCGTTGGACGCGGATCCGTGGGGGCGCCCATACAGGATGGTGATGCAAAAGCTGAGACCATGGGCGCCCCCTCTGACGGAGACGCTTGACTCCCGGTTCCTGGGACGGGTGATGGGGACCCTATTCCCGGTTGGGGGGGAAGACCCCATCACCCAGTACGTAACCCCCTCCCCCGAACAACAGGGGGAGGTTCCGGGAGTCACCGAGGAGGAGGTGGCCGAGGCTACCAAAAGGGTCAAGAGCGGGAAAGCTCCGGGACCCGATGGTATCCCCGGCCGTGTACTCACCCTGGCCTCAGGGTACATGAGCGGCAGGCTCGCCCGCCTATTTACTAGGGCAGTGAGGGAACGAAGATTCCCCCCAGTCTGGGGGAGGGCCAACGTGGTCCTCCTCCGAAAAGAGGGCAAGCCGGAGGAATCCCCCTCCGCGTACCGGCCCATATGCCTCCTGGATGAGGCGGGCAAGCTCTTTGAGCGCATAATAGCAGCCCGCCTCAAGAGGCATATGTCCCGGGAGGGTCCTGACTTAGGTGACGGCCAGTATGGCTTCCGAGAGGGCAGATCAACTGTGGATGCAGTGTTGCATCTCAAGTCCCTCTCGGGGGCCATAGTGTCGGAGGGCAGGGTGGCAGTCGCGGTATCCTTGGATATCGCGAATGCATTTAACACCCTGCCCTGGGGTAGGGTGGTGCAAGCGATGAGGGGTTATTTCCGCTTCCCACCCTACCTCACGGCCGTCATAGAGGACTACTTCCGGGGTCGGCGTCTTACGTGGACGGACGCCGATGGCACGGTAAGAGAGAGGGGGATGAGTCGTGGGGTCCCACAAGGATCTGTATTGGGGCCCCTCCTATGGAATATGGCTACGACTCAGTCCTCCGGACAGCCCTCCCCCCCGGCTGCAGCACGTTGTGCTACGCCGACGACACGCTCGTCCTAGCCGGGGGGAGAGACTGGGGGGAAGCCGTTCGCACGGCCAATTTAGCGGTGGCGGCGGTTGTGCGCTCCATCCGCAACTTGGGCCTGGTGGTGGCGGAAAGGAAGACGGAGGCGATCTTCCTCCACGCCAAGGGCATGAAGCCACCCCAGGCCCAAATCAGGATAGGCCAAGTCAGGGTCCCCATAGAGGCCCAGATGAAATATCTGGGCCTCACCCTGGACGGCACCTGGTGCTTCAGAGAACATCTCAGTAGGCTGGTCCCCCGACTCAGGATGATTTCCATCAACTTGGGCAGACTAATGCCCAATGTCGGGGGACCGGAAATGAAGGCGCGTCGCCTCCACGCAGGAATCCTAAACTCCGTCGCGATGTACGGAGCGCCGGTATGGGCCGAGTCGCTGGCCGCCAGTCGCCCGATGCAAGCGCGGTTGCGCAAAGTGCAAAGGGGGCTGGCGGCCAGGGTAGCAAGATGCTACCGGACCGTCTCCTGCGTGGCGGCGACAGTCCTGGCGAGCATGCCCCCCATGGAGCTCGTGGCCCTGTCGTACAAACGTATGTACGACAGGAAGCGCGAGCTCCTAAGAAGAGGGGGGGCGGACATACCGCTCGCCAGGACGATTAGAGAGATGAAGCACCAGACTCGACGGATCCTCCTCGAAAGATGGCAGAGGTGTCTGGCCAATGCCAGATACGGGAGGAGGACCGTCGAGGCCGTCCGGCCCTTCCTGCTCGAGTGGGTGGGAAGGGCCCATGGGGCCCTGACTTTCAGGGCGGCACAGGTGCTCACCGGGCATGGCTGCTTCGGTGAGTACCTGTGCCGAATAGGAAAGGAGCGCACAGCCGCCTGTCACCACTGCGGGAATGGCCACGACTCCGCGCAGCATACGCTCCAGGAATGCCCGGCCTGGAGCAACGAGAGCGGAGTCGTGGAAAGGCAGTTAGGTGGAGACCTTTCGCTCCCCAGTATAGTCCGGGCGATACTGGGGAGCGAAGAGAAATGGGAAGCCTTCACCACATTCTGTGAAAGAGTGATGCAGAAGAAGGAGGAGGCCGAGGAGGAGAGACGAAGAGCAGAGGGAAGGGGAAGGCGGAAGAGGCGGAGAGACCGCCACCGCCAATGGAGAGGAGGAAGGAGCAGGAGCAGGGAGGGGGACGCAGACTCCTCGGAGGAGGAGGAACTTCGGAGGTTGGGGGCGCAGCCACCACCTCCGCCTCCTCCTCACCCCCCTGCTCCTCCTCCTCCAATAAGGAGAGCGAGAGGTAGGAGGAAAACCACGACCTGGAGGGGACAACTAGGAGCCCTCCAGAGAGACAGAGGGGTGGCGGTGGTGGTGCTGCAGAAGCTTGCCCCACTCGTGGCAGTGGCAGCAGCGCTCGACCGCCCCGGCAATTGGGGTGGACGTGGCACTGCCACCGCCGCCACCCCTCGCTGCCCCACCAACGGCAGCGACGGGCGAGGGGAGCGGATGGGGTCAGAGGCTGTGGCCTAGGCCCCAAACCCGCAGACCGCCGACTCCCGCAAGAACGGGCGTCGGATGAAAAGGGAGAATAAGGGGGGGGAGAGGGTATCGGTGATTGATTAATCACCGAAATAATGCCCCTCCCCCCCCTGAATCGCAGGTCCGACAGACCAGTCGGACATGCGGGAGGGGGGTCACTAGGACCCCCCGCCCCATTCCTCCGCGGAGGTGGGGAGAGCCCGGCGGCTAGGGGAGTATATCTCCCCGTAACCGCCGGGCGGGAGGGTGGGGCATCGGGCGGGGACTCCCGGTGCCCCAACCAGCCCTCCCAAGGTAGGGTGGCTGGCTGATACGGTGGGTCAGTCAGCCACACAACGTTCTTCAATTGGCGGCGCCTCGTCTGGTCGGGAACGGCGGTGAAGCGGGCCTCGGCCGGCTTCCCCCCTCCCGACCGAAGAGACGAGGCGTGAGGGGTGGGAAAGGGGAACGGCGGTCGAAGCGGGCCCTCGGGCCGGCTTCCCCCTTCCCCTGGGGGAGCGGTGGTCGAAGCGGACCCTCGGGTCGGCTTCCCCCCTCCCCCACCCCGCCCCTCAGGGACAGAAGGTGTAACATCTGGACTCGGGGCCCCGATCAGCAGTTACGCGGCACCGGGGCCCCGACCCAAGTCCCTTCGCAGCGCCACCCGGGGAGGTTTTAGCCGGTAGGAGTCCGGCATAACCCTGGCCCTTCCCCGAGGGTCAGGGTATCCATGATGGATTTCCTCCTCGTCAAAAAAAAAAAAAAAAAAGGGTATCCATGATGGATTTCCTCCTCGTCAAAAAAAAAAAAAAAAAAAAAGCTTCAAAGACGGTGATTTCGATGTTGACGACCGTTCGCGTGAAGGAAGGCCAAAAACCTTCAAAGACGCTGAATTGGAGGCATTGTTCGATGAGGATCCGTGCCAAACGCAAAAAGAGCTTGCTTCAGCATTAGGAGTTACCCGCCAAGCCATTTCCAAGCGATTGCATGCGTTGGGAATGATTCAAAAACAAGGAACTTGGGTTCCTTATGATTTGAAGCCAAGAGACGTTGAGCGTCGTTTTTTCGCCTGTGAACAACTGCTCCAGCGGCAAAAAAGGAAGGGTTTTCTTCATCGCATCGTTACGGGTGATGAAAAATGGATTCATTACAGCAATCCAAAGAGAACAAAATCATTTATTCGCATTTATTCGCTTATTTATTTAATAATTTTTCTCAAAACTTTACGTAGCCGATTCCAATTTTTTCCCGTCCGTTGTACTTATCTCGATGTTTTTTATGCTTTTTTTAAAGTTTGAAAGTTTATAATTACCCACCCTGTATATGTGCATGTGTACGTTTCGAAAATAATTCATGCATATGAAAATAATAGAAGAAAATTCATGAAAATCTGGAAATTTTCACGGTTATTCGTGCCTTTTAGTCGCCATCTTGGATCCGCCATTTTGAAATTCTTTGATATGAATTAGTTGTCCGCAAATATCCTAAAATCCCTCTAAGTACCCTGGATACTAAATTGATGCTAAATATTAGGATTTTGCGAAGTTATTCTAAAAATACATTATTTTTTAAGTTTTTTTCGTTCAAGCCGCCATTTTAGGGCAGCTATCTTGAATTCACATTTTCACCAATGCATACCTTGAAAGTTCAACATTTTTGAGACTAGATGTGACACTTGTATCTGTATTAGAATAACATTTTTGATACGAAATCAAGCTTATAAAAAATAAAATTGTCGATTTTTCACGACTTTTTCCAAAAATTCCGCCATATTGGAATTTATTGTGAATCTAAACGAATTCTGATGCCGGAATCTTATAGAACGATCCCGAAAACATAAGGAAATGCTATTCCAACCTTATATATGTTTTTTTACATAAAATACAATTGCAAAGTAAGGCTAATATTTTAGGACTTTTGGGCGTTAATGGATTAAGCTAAGAGTAAGTATGAAAAAGTTTAGATACTTAAGGTAGTAATGCATTATAAAAGTGTAATGTATTACCACGTTAAGTATCTACATCTTTTTGTACTCTTAGGCCCCTTGCACAATGCCAGGCAACAAGCAATAAGAATAAAAATAGATCAATCACAATCGACTATTACAAGAATAATCTATTGTGATTGGTCTATTTTTATTCTTATTGCCTGTTGCCTGGCATTGTGCAAGGGGCTCTAGTTTAAATAGCTGAGAAGTCAACTATTTCAACTTGCCGATAACGACACGATACGTGCAACATCTATACGCAATTCCATTAATTACAGCTTTGTCGGTAATGCTAAATCATGTGACAAAAAGTTGGATCACTTACTCATTTATACCCTGTATATTTAACTTGCTAATGCAGATATATATATTTACATTCAACGTTCATATGATTTACGTAGTCGTATGTCATATTACTTTACTTTTGACAGTCTATAGCAGAGCTGGAGACTAAGTGCCCTTTTCGGCCGAATTTCAAACGGTGACACCCACCGTTCCCCTTGCACCGCTCCGCGCTTAGCGGTCGAGGCGACGATCGCGGATCGCTCAGGCCCGTCGCTACGTAAGGTGTCAGCTACAGCGTATCCTCGTGTTTTTTTATAATTATAATTTTTTCCTCCCTTAATAATAGCTTTAAAATACATATGTTTATGTGTTTTATACACACATATATATATATATATATACATATATATATACATATACAGGGTGTCCGGAATATTATCATTAATATTTTGTGTACTGGTAGATTGGGTGTAGCCGAGAAGAAAAATCATGTACCATAATGTCAAATTGGCAATAGTTATTGAGTTATTAATTGAAACATGTGAGCCAATGAGCGCGTAAAGAGCGCTGGGCGGCCGCCTCTTGTCGCTTGCGCTCACTGGCTCGTCGTTCGCGCTCGCTCGCTCCTCGTCGCGCGCGCACGCCTCTTGTCGCTTACGGTTGCCTCTCGCCGCGCGAGGTAAGCCATCTTCTTACACACACTTCTTATACACAGAGCCCGTCCTGTCGCTTTCTCGTGCGCTCATTCGTTTACACATTTTAATTAATTACGGAATAAATATTGAAAAAATTGTAAAATAGCACAGGACTTTTTTAAATTGTTTTAACGAGTTCTACCAATACACAACATATTAATGATCACATTCCTATATATATAATTACAACATAATGAAAAGAATAACATAAAAAAAATTTAATTAAAGGATTATTGCAATAGATTTCCGCATCACCTGTGAAGTACTATTGCTGATGCGTTTTTTTTTTAAGTGGTTTCCCCAGTAGGCCTATTCCACTAAAAAATGAAGAATTACGATCGAAAGTATGGCTCGGCAGGAAAACTAGATGAAAAGAAGTAAATGATCATTTGGGAACAAGTAAACTAGGATTTCCTGGGTCGTTTAGACTGTACTATGGATGATATATCCAAAGACATTTTAGAAGAACTAGCTCGCATCAAGGAGGAAAGGGAAGTATCATTTAAAGAAGAACGTTTATCCGTTTTCGTCAATTTCATTCTGAAGAAGGAGCATTCACATAAATATGTGGACCAAAACCAGAAAAAATTCGGAGATCAAAATCTCGAAGACGTGGATAAGAAGAAGAATCTAAAATTTTTAAAAACTCGGCCTCTTTTTCTAATCGGGATTTCAAAGAAATGTCGCATTGCAAATCGCACAATTCTTCCTGAAGAAATAGACTTTGTTCCTCGATTTGCGCGATAAGAGGATTGCTGAAGAGCATCAAATCTCGTCTTAAACTATCAAAATCACAGAAACGCCTATCAAATTGATCAATTAAAGATTGAATAATATTCAGTTGCTTAAGAAAATTACAATTTGTGCCGTGTTCTTCAAAAAGAATTTGGCAGCAGGGAAAAAAATGAAGTTTATCTTGCAACTGATTTTTAAAAAGCAACAATTTTCTACGGAAAGAATCTTCACAACTAACTAACTGGGTAATAGTTTGGTCGGACTTTTGCAGCTTTGAATTTAGAATATTTAAATGATTAGTTATATCGGTTATGAGAGCAAGCTCGCAAAGTGAATCTAAATCTTCGAAGAAGAACCTAAATTCGTTCAATTTTGTAGGATATTCTTCTTGCAAAAAAAGGAATATCTTTTTTCTTATTGCGAAGTTTCAAGACATTTTCCTGCACTGAGCCATCGCACTTCACAATATAAAGGAACATCTGTGTAGATTGCGTTATGCTCTTCGAGAAAGTGTTAAAATTTATGATGAGAAAGGAATTTTTGGCCACCTTTAATTAAATTAATAATTTTTGTGACCGTTTTCATGGCGCTACACAGTTTAATATCTTTCCCACATAACGCTTCTTGATGAATAATACAATGAATAACAGGAAATGTAAAACCTCGCTGCTTTAAATGTCCGACGAACCCGTTTTTAAAACCTACCATTGATTTTGCGCCATCGGTGACTATACCCGAACATTTTGAAAAATCGATGTCGAATTTTTGCAGACATTGGCTAATAGCCTTGAAAATATCTGCACCTGTTGTCCTACCAATGGTACAAAATCTAAAAGCTCCTCGACATGTGAAAAATTGTTTTGCACGATTCGAGCAAAAATATTCAGTTGACTCACATGCCGATTATCGGTGCTTTCATCAAGACATAAAGAATAGTATGAGCAAGACATTAATAAATTTTCAACTTTTCTTCTAAAGAACAGGCAATATCGTCAATCCGTGATTTCACGGTTTTACGATTTAAAGGAATGCTTGCAGCTTCTTCTAAAGTTATAGAATCTCCAAACAATTCCACTGCTGCGATGGGACACTCCTTTACAAATTCCCCTTCACTATACGACTTTGAATTTTTTGCGATGAGATGTGCAATTGCAAACGACGCGGTAAGGGCTTTCGTAGAAGATTGAATATTCTCGACACTTAAATCGCGACCTTCTTGATGAACTAATTTTAATCCTTCAATTAGATTTTGTTTTTCCTCGTCCACATATTTGGAATACTCCTGACAATGAAGAGTATTATAGTGTCTATAAACGATATATTTTTTAACAAGTGATGGTTGAAAACCACATAAAAGACAGTCGGAAATGTAAGCGAAGAAAATTTGCTCCCATACCTTATCAAAAGTTTCCCTAAACTTTTGATTCCTATCCATTGTTCCAAGAAATCCAGCCAGAAGACTACTCCAAAGACACGAAATCACAAGAAAACTTGAGATGAGAGTGCGAAACTGTCTGTATTCTCGCCAAAGACCTTTAACGAGCAAACTCTCATACAGACTGTGGAAACAGCCAGACCGTAAAACAATTGCATATCGGTCAGCAACAGAGTCCAACACATTCAAACACCAAAAGACTCGTGCGTATTTGTAAACAGAGAGAGTAAACAGAGAGTGTATAAGTTGATAGAATATTCAAACTATGTGGATGAGGAAAAACGTAATATATTTTAAGAATTAAAATTAATTCATGAAGAAAGTAATATCAGTGTCGAGAATTTTTAATGTTCTATGAAAACCCTTATCGAGTCATGCAATATCAAATTTCATCGCAAAAAAATCTAAGTTCTTTAGCAAAGGAAAATTTGTAAAAAATGCGTCATTGCAGCGGTCAAATCATTTGGAGTTTCGATGACTTTCGAAAAAGCTGCAAGCATTCCATTAAATCTGTAAAATCACGGATAGATGATACAGCTTCATCTTTAGAAGAGAAATTAAAATGTTCATTTGCGTCTTATTTGTATTATTCATTATGTATTTATGAGAGCACCGATAATCGGCATATGGATCAACTATGCATTTTTGCTCGAATCGTACGTAAAACGATTTTTCACATGTCAAAGGCCTCTCAGACTTTGTATCGTTGCAAGGGAGAACAACAGGTGTTGAAATCTTTAAGGCTGTTAGTCAAATTCTGCAAAAGTTTGATATTGATTTCTACAAATGTTCGACTGTAGTCACCGATAGCGCAAAAGCAATGATAGGTTTGAAAAAACGGCTTCTTTGAACAAATAAGACAGCAAGGTTTTAAAATCTCTGTTACTCATTGCATCATTCATCAAGAAGCGTTGTCTTATAAGTTTAACCCCTTGACTGTGAATGACGTAAATATGCGCATGAAAATTTTGCCTCTCCGACGTACTCTCTGCTCTAAAATTTTATTTCTCTACCGAGCCATACATTTTATCGTATTTGTTCTTTATTATTTAGTGGAGTAGGCCTACTGGGGAAAGCACTTTAAAAAAACGCATCAGCAATAGTACCTCACAGGTGATGTGGAAATCTATTGCAATAATCTTTTAATTATACTTTTTTTACGTCATTCTTTTCATTATGTTATAATTATATACAGGGTGTTTGATAGCTGATCATGCAGACGAAAGTTGGAGATACGAGGGTAGTTTGATAAGTCAGTGACTTTTTTAATAAAAGATATTTTTTTCGGCAAATAAGCGTTTTATTTCTCAACGTAATCTCCTTTTAGCTCGATACATTTAGTCCACCGTTTTTCCAATTTTTTTATTCCTTCCAAATAATAGGTTTTCTCAAGGCCCTCAAAATAGGCGTTTGTTTTAGTGATGACCTCTTCATTCGACCCAAATCTCTTACCGCCCAGCCATTTCTTCAGGTTTGGAAACAGGAAATAGTCGCAGGGGGCTAAATCTGGTGAATATGCTGAATGGGGTAGCAGTTTGTAGCCCAATTTATGGATTTTTGCCATGGTGACTACACACGTGTGCACCCGTGCATTGTCCTGATGGAACAGCACTTTTTTCTTCGCCAAATGCGGTCGTTTTTGCTTCAAATCAATATCGAATCTGTCCAAAAGCTCTGAATAATATTCGCCGGTGATCGTTTTACCCTTTTCAAGGTAATCGATGTGAATGATACCGCGTGCATCCCAAAAAACTGTGGCCATGACCTTGTTGGCCGACAGACCCACCTTGGCCTTCTTTGGTGCACGTTCACCCGAAGAAACCCACTGTTTTGATTGTTCCTTGGTCTCTGGTGTGGTGTGATGGATCCATGTTTCGTCTACGGTAACGAAACGGCGCAAAAACTCGCTCGGATTGCGGCTGAACATCGCCAAACACTCCTTTGAAATGGTCACACGGTTGCGCTTATAGTCGAGTGTGAGCAATCGCGGCACCCATCGCGCGGATAGCTTCTTCATGTCCAAATATTCATGTAAAATGTGATGTACCCGCTCAGTTGAGATGCCTACAGCCTCAGCCACTTCACGCACTTTCATTCTCCGATCATCCAATATCATTCCATGGATTTTATCGACGATTTCTGGCGCGACGACTTCTTTTGGGCGACCTGAACGTTCGGCGTCACTTGTGCTGGTACGACCACAACGGAACTTGTGTAAACCACTTCTTAACCATTGAAATTGATGGAGAGTCCCCCATAGTATTTATCAAGCTTTGCCTTGGTTTCGGTGATGGTTTTTTTACGCAAAAAATAATGCTTAATTAGCACACGAAATTCACTTTTTTCCATTTTCGTTAAAATTCACGAGGTTGTCTGCTTTCAATGGCTGTCAAACACTAACTAAATGGCGCAGCTTGCCTAAACTTGTACAGTAGTCTATTAATAGATGGCAGTTGACGGGAGCAGTGCTGCATTTAAAGTTACTGCGCGGAAAATTCAAAAAGTCACTGACTTATGAAACTGCCCTCGTAGATTGGGTGTAGCCGAGAAGAAAAGTCATGTACCATAATGTCAAATTGGCAATAGTTACCGAGTTATTAAATTAAAAATAAAACATGTGAGCCAACGAGCGCGTAGAGAGCGGAGGTCGGCCGCAATAAGCACGTAGACATTTGATACAGGCGGAGTCAGTGAGTGTCGGGAGGCAAGCGCGCGCGGCGAGGGGCAACGTAAGCGACAAAAGGCGATCGCGCGCGACGAGGAGCGAGTGAGCTTTTTCTTTATAGCTTTTTCCTTATAGCTCGCTCGCTCCTCGTCGTTCGCGCTCGCTCGCTCTTCGTCGCGCTCGCTCGCCTCTTGTCGCTTGCGCTCGCTCGCTCCTCGTTGTTCGCGCTCGCTCGCTCCTCGTCGCGCGCATTCGCCTCTTGTTGTTTACGTTGCCCCTCGCCGCGCGCGCTCGCCTACCGTCACTCGCTGACTCCGCCTGTATCAAATGTCTATGTGCTTACTGCGGTCATCCTCCGCTCTCTACGCGCTCATTGGCCCACATGTTTTAATCAATAACTCGATAACTAATGCCAATTTGACATTATGGTACATGACTTTTCTTCCCGGCTACACCCAATCTACCTCCAACTTTCGTCTGCATGATCAGCTATCAAACACCCTGTATATATACAAGGTGTCCCATTTTAAGCGTCCACCCTAAATATCTCTCTTATTTTTGATTTTAGAGAAAAATGGTTCAGATATGTTTTGTATGGTTTCGAGAGGGCCATAAGATGGTATCATTGATTTGACCTTAAAGAGTCATTTGAAGGTCATGTGAAGGTTATCTCAATTTTTTTATACGGTACTCCATATTTTTTATTACATATTCTTATAGCTGACCTCGAGAGCTTTCCAAAACACTATAATAAAATGTTTTTTGATGATGTACTTTTCGAGTTATAAAGCTCCAAATTTACAAAATTTTGATAAAAATACAAAATATTTCGTAAAACATTCACTTTCCGATAGTCTTATCTTACATGATCCAACCAGTCAAGGCAAGATCCGAGCATGATCCAGCCAGTCA